TGGAGGCCATGTGCCCGAGGAGGACCTGTATCTGCTTCGCTGGGACTACTCGGGATCAATGAACCTTGAGCGCCTTGGCACGAAGAGCCCTGAATCTCTCCTCTGGGAGGAACACCGACTGGGAGAGAGAATCGAACATGGCGCCTATGAACTTTATGCAAGTGGTGGGTTCCAGATGAGATTTTTCCTCGTTCAGCTGAAGGCCCAGATCTTCGAGGAGGGAAAGTGTCCTTGTGACCTGAATCCGCAGGAGGTCTGGGGAGCGTGCTGCCAACAACCAATCGTCTAGGTATGGGAAAATGTGGATTTTTTCCCTTCTGAGGGCTGCTGCGACCACCGACATGCATTTGGTGAAAGTTCTCGGTGCCGTTACGAGCCCGAATGGAAGCACGTTGAAGGCATACGTCTGTCCCGCTACCCTGAAGGCCAGGAGGCGCCTGTGGTGTTTTCTGACTGATAGATGAAAATAAGCGTCCCAGAGATCGACAGACGTGAAGAAGTCTCCGTATCTGAGGAGAGGGAGTATGGACGATACCGTCACCATCCGGAACTTTTGGGGTTCGATGAAGGAGTTTAAGTCTCTGAGATCGAGGATTAGGCGGAGGGAGCCATCCGGCTTTGGGACAGTAAAGTATCTGGAAAAGAAGGCTCGATGGTTTTGAGAATCCGGTAGAGGGGAAATGGCCCCTTTCAGAAGCAAAGTCTCGACTTCTGCCAGAATTGCCGAAGATGGTTCGGTATCGACAATCTGCCCTGTTGGTGGGAGCTCTTCGAACTCCAATGCATAGCCTTCGTCGACAATCTTTAAAACCCATGCATCTGAGGTGATATTTTCCCATGCAGGGAGGAAGTTTGTCAGGCGATCCCCGAACGGTGTCGAGCCGGATGGAAGGATGAGGGCGGGTGCCATTGGGAGGGACATGGGAACAACATTGGTAATGGAACTGTAAACGGTAACGTCCGCAAGGGCATCAAATGCAGCGCCTGGCCTGGTTGCCTCCTGAGGCCTAGCGAGAACGTGAACGCTGCTGCTGGTGCTGCCTCCGTTGTTGTTGGGGTTGTTGAGGGTGGGTTTGTTGGGAAGCCTGCAGAGGATGGGTTGGCTGCCGATACTGGATGGTACGGTACGGGACCATGTGCCGACGCTTGTACTGGAACCATCTGGTTCTCTGTGCCTGGCTCTGGTTCTCGAACCCGCACTTGGCAGCTAAAGTCTTGAAGTCATGATTTGCCTTTAGCTTGTCGTCCGTCCCGGCGTTAAAGAGTCCCAAGGTATCGAACGGGAGGTCCTCAATGACCTGCCTCGATGATGTGGAGAGGCCAGAGGATCTGAGCCAGGCATGCCTCCTGATTGCCACGGCGTGGGCGATCATCTTGCCCGCAGTGTCTCCTGTGTGTTTGGCCATCTGCATCTGGTGATGCGCCAGCGAGTTCGCCTCCTGAGCCAGGGTGGAGAGGGCAGTGCGATCTTCATCAGACATCCTTTGGAAAAACAGAGCCGCTTTTTCCCAAAGGATTTGCTGGTATGCGCCCATACAAGCACCATAGCTGGCCATGCGGGCCAATAAGAGGGCACCAGAGTAGAGCTTTCGGCCCACAGCGTCAAATCTCTTTCCCTCCTGATCGGACGGCATCGACGATTGCCTCTCAAATGCCTGAGCCGCCTTCACGACCACCGAGTTGGGATCGGGGTGATGTTTCAGCCACTCCAAACCCTCATNACCATAGTTGGCCATGCGGGCCAATAAGAGGGCACCAGAGTAGAGCTTTTGGCCCACAGCGTCAAATCTCTTTCCCTCCCGATCGGACGGCATCGACGATTGCCTCCCAAACGCCTGAGCCGCCTTCACGACCACCGAGTTGGGATCGGGGTGATGTTTCAGCCACTCCAAACCCTCATCGTCCGTTCTGTACCATGATTCAATTTTCTTAGAGGTTGGAGGGATGGAGGAAGGGGTCTTCCAGGAGCCCTGGATCACTTCAAGGAGATAGGGAAGGAAAGGTAGAAGAGGAGCAGGTGGAGATTCCGATTGCACCCTCTTAAACACCGGGTCTTGCACTGCCTTGGAAGTCTGCTTGACCTCCAAGACTAGGGCATCAGCCATGCGAGCCATTTGATCCGCAAAGGCTCGGACATTGTCCGTGGGAGATGGTGGATCAGCCTCATAAGTGTCGTGAGTGGGTGATCTCTCGATCCTGAGAGATAGCACCGATCCCGAGTGTACCGATCCTGGTAACTCGCCATCTTCCTCTTCATCGTCAGCAGTGACGGACTGGGGAGGAGGGGATGAGGACACATCCCGGCTCGGACGTTGCAGTGGAGCTGCTGGAGGGGCTTTTGAGGCCGAGGCCTGAATGGCACGGGCCAATCTCATAGTCTGTCTGCCCCTTTCCGGAGTCTCCATCACTGGAGAAGTCTCCTGTCTTGCCATCACAGTTGTCAAGGTCGACACGGACGGGAAGAGCTCCTGTCTGGCTGTCACATGTCGAGTTGGTGCCTCGATCACCGTGTCCACCGAAATCACCGGGGACGCGGGCTGTTCCAACGGCAGCTCTGGCAACGGCTGTGGTTCCTGAGCGGGCTGAACGGCCGGCTGGGATTGAGCAGATTGCAGCGGCGATGACCTCGCTGACGAGGTGGCCGAGGAGGCGGTCGTCTGCTTTCTAGAAGAAGAAGAAGACGAGGATGGAGGCAGCATCATCTTCTTCTTCTTCGCCGGCAGCTGTGTTGTCTTCGACAGAGACTTGCCCGGGGTTGGCGGGACGGAGGATGAGGTGGAAGCACGTCGAGACTCTTCTTGAGACCGGCGAAAGGCGATGCGAACCGCCGTAGAAGATGGCGGAGTCGCCGATGTCGACCTCGTGGACCTAACCAACCTCACCGACGCCACCGAGCTGGTCGAGGAGTGTCGAATGCGTACGGTCTCAGTCGTGACCGTGCATGGAG